ACGGACGCGCCGGGTAGCCAGCATCTAGGCTAACCGGTAACCCGCCTTCCTGGTTACTGTGGAAAATAGCCTTCATTGGTTGTTTGTCCAGTCCTATAATATAAATGTCTGACAATCGACAGTCAATAAAATAGCAAAAGGTCTGTTTTACAGCATTATCTGAGTAAAATTGTCTTTCTATGCAAAAAAATTAACCAAATTGCGAAGAGAAGTGGTTGACAGTGGGGTAAAGTTTGGTACGGCCTCTAGCCTTTTCTAAAACTTCTACAGTTCTGTTTATTCTATACATTAAGACCAGGATAAGAGGGTCACAGCGAATTTAAGCCTATTACCTTTAAATAGACTAAAGTTAAGCCGAATGAACACGGCGCGGCGACGAACCCACCCGAAGCGGCGAAGGTTTTGCTAGCATCTCCTATCGAGATGGTGATGCGTAGCTCCAGGGGCCGTCACGCCCCACAAAACGTTAATCAAATGTTTTAGGATATTTTTCTACGCAACAAAATAAAAAAGAAGTTCAGGTAGTGTTTAAGACAGCTGTGGAGTTTTAAAACTTAAATCGGGTGCAGACGTATTTGCCAATAAATGGATCAGAAAAATCCCAATGAAAATGTTATTTTTAAATGGATTGTTCTAAATGGCTTTACGTGCCCTCATTGGGTGCTCTACTCATGAACTTAAGCTTATACGCGTTATCTAAAGCTAACCATATGCCAAACGCGGGTCGAAGATTTCATCTGATCTCTTCAATCTAGAATGTGATACTCAGCTGAGCGCCGTTAGTGACTAGTCTGGGCTTTCATCCCTAAACTTGGATCTTTTAAGTCAATTTATTGAGGGAAGAAGGCTTTTGCTCTGAATGAAATGTTCTGCTACTTAGTTGCATACTTTAAAGTATTTCAAAGTCGAGCTCTGCGAACCGTCATGCAGCCAGGGGAGAGGCGTACTTTTAGCGGTATCATTGGGGTCGGCCAGATCACAACTGTCGTAAGCATGTGGTCGTCTGTGCTTTGCACGCGGCCAATTCTGACTTTAAATTTTTTGCCCTTACGTCCCACATCTTCTCTTCTTTTCCACCACGCAGCATGACCCCACACACCGCAGCTCACTCTTCAATATGGCCCTCATGTACAACAATGAGTTGCACCAGCCCCTAGCAGCCATTCCGCTGCTGAAGCAGCTGATCGAGGTCAGTACCCTGTGTCGATGTGCATTGCGTTGTGGCCATTTTGCATATTTTCGCGTCAAATGTACTTTGTGTGAGCGTATTCCTGAGCTCGGCAAAAATCCTTTCCCGTGTGTGTGTGATACAAACCGAAGACAAGCCGTCCCCTACTGAAAGCTTGGCGCCTGTCTTCCAAATGTGTTGCAGTGACTGGGACTACAACTACGTTAACGAAACTGCACCTAAATGTGTGGACTATTTGAATCAGGAATGAGAAGTGGAGTTATTAGGGTCAGCACCCCACGCAACCTCCGTTGGTGAGGTAGTGGATGTGCTGCAGTCAAATTTACGTTCGCATTCTTCTCAGTGTTAAGATGGTGAAGTGGACCCGACGGTAGGAGTACCTCGTGGGGCCGCATGGGGGGCCGCTTCGCGCGCCCCTCTGTCTCATGGGTACCTGATTTTAGGGGAGAGGATGGGCGGGGCGTGCCAGGTAACAAATAAGTTCGCAGTAATCTTGTAAATTAATAAAGTTACGAGGGTAAATTGGGACGCGTAAGCAAACCTCGGACGGGGACACTGGAGCACGCCTTAAGATCATCGCGAATCCCCTATCGGGCCAACGGCAAGCGCGTGTATGTAGCGGAGTGTGCCCTGACCTCGGGCGAGGCCATTGAGGTACACTTTCAAGTAGTAGCACTAACCCCAACTAGAGTAAAGGTTAACGTATGCAGAATTTGCAAGATTAAGAAATGAACCCTACTTAAAATTTGTAACTAATCGGTTGTTCCCATGGTTAATTTGAAAAGCCTTTTTTGCTTAATATACTGACTTAAGCGGTTATTGTATGCGGTGACCTTCCGAGGACCCCTCTGTAGTCCAACGCCATCATCCAATCCCTACCGGGTCGACAGCCAGCGTGCAGAAAACTGGAAGATTGTGGATAATTTAACCTACTTAAAATTGGTAAGTGGGTGATGATAATGGATAAGGACCCTTCTGCGGCTCCAGTAGGTACTCTCACCGACCCGACAAAAACAAAGGAGTCCAGAATGGACGTTTCTGGCTTATCGACCATCATCAGCTAGTTATGCCCAATTCCATTTGGTCATGGAGTGCAACACTATCACTGAGCTGCAGGCCTCTTGCGTTGTTCCTTGTGATAGGGAATATGATCAGTGGTAGGGCGCTTAGCGATCTATCTGTTGGGGGAGCATTTTCGCCATGCAACTGCCTGCAAGGGCATAATGGGACGAGCGCGTTTTTAACTAGATAGATTGGTGAGCCTCCTACCATCCATTGAAGATGGTTGTTGACGATCATATTATAACTTCTTTTTAAGTGTATGTCTGTATAGGTGGACTTTCCGATGTTTCGCAATCTGACATTCCTTTTTCCTCTCTGCTTGTAGATTCATCCCTCGCACACTAAATCGTATCTTCTGCTCGGCGATATTGAACTGTCCGTCAGAAAGAACCCTACAGAAGCTCAGCGAGTAAGTCCACCAGATTTTGGGCTCATGCCTTCCTCCTATTTTAATTATTCGTGGTAGTGGTGGTGGCCAACCTCAGGTTTTCATAAAGGCGCATGTATCCTAGAAAGCCCATGTGGTAAATGAATGCGCGTGGCCAATAGAGGCTGGTGGGTATTGGCGCTCCTTACACTCGTTCGCAATTGGATGACCAAGCCGACGCAGTGCAGTGGCAATTGGGGCAGGATAGGTTTGGGGCTGTAAAGTTGGTGATGTTGGTGGTGGTGTGGCAATTTATCATAGCGACCTCCTCCTAACTGCACAATTTAAATGTCTCTTGCCAAGGTTTACTCGAATGGTATCATTTAGTTCTAGTTTTCTAGGCTATCGACGGTTTTCTTTAAACGACAAAATTATTTCGCTTTATTCCAGCCCTTAGGATGTTTTCACATTTTGACTGCATTATTGGGCAACTGTTAGGAGTATTCACGAGATTCTCAATTGCTTTTAGTTATAACAGTCGCCACGTTATGTTGTAATTTACCCTACTAACAGCGCGTGATTCGTCGGTGTTATGCCGCTGCTGCTTAACACTGCTGCGAGGGGTCTGGCTCACCAGTGGGTCGCCTAGTATTCCTTGTTTGCTTCCTATTTGATATGCCCTTTTAATTTTTCTTAGAATTTAATTGCTGTGCTCGGTAAAGATCAGTTCAAGGTCTGTAAGCGCATATTAAAATTTCATGTACAGTGGAGCCTCGGTAGACAAGCAGTTGCATCTACGAGCATTTCGGGTAAAGAGCGAGCCACTCGCAGAAAATGTGTTTCGCTTGACTAGTTTGCGCTCAGTTAACGAGTTGTCAGTGCGAGTATGTGCGCCTGTATCTGCCTTTGAGTCTTGCTTCTACGGTGTGGGCCCTCGGTCACCTGCAGCCAATCAGTGAACTGCTGCATTTTGATTGGCTACGTTTCGCAAGCCAAACGTTTCATATGACAAGCTCCGCGCCGGAACGAATTAAACTCCTAAACCGAGGTTCCACTGTATATACAGTATGCGCCAAAATTCGTGCAACATGCCGACATATGCGAAAGATTGATACTCTTTCGTAAGTCGGTATTGACTCAGGTCGTGTTAATGATTATCGTGTAGTCTATTCTGAAGTTATTTCAGTCATTATAGGATTCGGGCTTTTTAACAAGCTTCGTTCTGACCACTAACAAAAACGTATGTACTGTAAAAAGTAGCTACTTAAATAGTATGCGTTTTTATCATTGATTTTGACTGCCT